CAGCCAATGTAAATTCTGAAGTATTAATACCACTTTACAATGCCTTAGTAAGGCCACACTTGGAATACTGCATCCAGTTTTGGTCACCACGATGTAAAAAAGATGTTGAGACTCTAGAAAGAGTGCAGAGAAGAGCAACAAAGATGATCAGGGGACTGGAGGCTAAAGCATACAAGGAACAGTTGCTGGAATTGGGTATGTCTAGTTTAATGAAGAGAAGGATGAGGGGGGACATGATAGCAGTCTTCCAGTATCTCAGGGGCTGCCACAAAGAAGAGGGAGTCAAGCTATTCTCCAAAGCGTCTGAAGGCAGGACAAGAAGCAACGGATGGAAACTAATCAAGGAGAGAAGCAACCTAGAACTAAGGAGAAACTTCCTGACAGTGAGAACAATTAACCAGTGGAACAACCTGCCTCCAGAAGCGGCGAATGCTCCAACACTGGAAGTTTTTAAGAAGAGACTGGACAGCCATTTGTCTGAAATGGTATAGGGTTTCCTGCCTGAGCAGGGGGTTGGACTAGATGACCTCCAAGGTCCCTTCCAACGTTATTATTATTATTATTAAAATTGCACACAACCCCAGGCCCAACAGCTAGCAACCACAGTGCTACGAAGGTGGAAGATGGAACCAGCTGCTGTTCTCTTGCAGACACGATTTTGTTCCCCACAGTTCTGGAACCCCACAACTTCTAAGGAGATGCCGCTGTCGTTTTAATAACAAAGAACACTATGCATTTACTACTTAGATCCCGTTACTTTGAAGAAACTAAAGGAGGCTGGCTCTTTAAAGAAACTGGGAATCGAAAGAGTTTCCTGGCCGAACTCTAAAACTCTGCCAATGCTGAGATAACAAATCGTTAATTTTGCGGGGAGATTGCTCTCTGTGGTATTTGAATTTTCTGCAGCTCCTGGAAAATGAATAGCCAGGTTTCTGAATCAATGCCTACAAACTTCGCTTCGGTTTCACGTTGCCTCGTTGTACGGAAAGCCCTGTGGATCACACAAAGACAGTCTTCCCAGAAATTCTAAAACTCACGACAATTCTGGAAGCAAATCCTGGTTTAAAACTAACTGCGATGAGCGTGGGTGAATTATTTAAAACCTTGCGTTTAAAAAAGTAGCATTCCACTTTTCCTTCTTGGGGTAGGATTCCTCAAAAGCAAAACCACTGGAAAGCTAAACAACACAGTTTCAATGTAAACTCTTAAGTAAGTGTACTTTAGAACAAAATAATAATAGAGCAGCACGGCGCAAATGCTTGGAAGCATTTTCAAAAATAGGTTTTTTAAAAAAATCAACGGACACTAAGGGGTTTTTTTCTGCTTAAAAAAAGGAACATTCTATATCATCTCCCAGAAGGTCAGCAATGAGGAAGTGAAAAGGGATCTGAGAATCTGGATGCAGAGGAGAAAAAGTCACCAGTCCAGTCTTGCCCAATCCTGTTAATTCTCCAGGAATTCTGGATCAATTGCAAGAACCCCACAACATGGCTGGATTACAAAAAGCTAACGCCATCACCGGGATGAGGATAGGATAGGATAGGATAGGATATGGAATGGAATAGAATAGAATAGAATAATAGAATAGAATAGAATAGAATAGAATAGAATGTGGAATATGGAATAGAATAGAATATAGAACAGAATAGAACAGGATATAGAACAGAATAGAATATAGATTAGAGTAACTAGACTAGAGTAGACTAGAATATAAAACAGAACAGAATATAGAATATAATAATAGAATAGAATAGAACAGAACAGAAGCTGGAAGGGACCACGGAGATCTTCTAGTCCAGCCCCCTGCTCAAGCAGGAGGACCTATACCATCTCAGACAAATGAGTTTTCCTGGGTGATCTCAATCCCTTTTGCATGTGTCAATAAACCTTTTCATTTAAGCCAATATTTCTCAACTCCAGCAATTTTAAAATTGGTGCACTTTAGCTCTCAGAATCCATGTTGGCTGAGCAATTCTGGGAGTTGAAGTCCACACCTCTTACGGTTGCTGGGATTGAGCGATGCGGGTTTAAAAAAGCCAATCCCGAGTCCCGCTTAGACCCCGATCGTGTCAAAGCTTCCAGTGTCAAGGAGAGCCACGCACAGACAGAGAGAGAGAGAGAGAGAGAGAGAGAGAGAGAGAGAAAAAACGCACTAACACATGGGAGCCTTGACTTAATGGTAACTGAGAATTCTTAGGAGGAGAGATGCTGGTTTCTTCCTAAGACTAATTTCAATGGTTTGTTTTCTCTTACTAGGTTTAGGAAAGAGTATTTATTAAGATAGCCGGGCTCCAGACAAAAGAGAAGAGAAGAGAAGAGAAGAGAAGAGAAGAGAAGAGAAGAGAAGAGAAGAGAAGAGAAGAGAAGAGAAGAGAAGAGAAAGGAGAGAAAGGGGGAAGAGAAGAGAAAGGAGAGAGAGAAAAGGGGAAAAGAGAAGAGAAAGAGAAAGGAGAGAGAGAGAAAGGGGGAAGAGAAGAGAAAGGAGAGAGAGAAAGAGGGAAGAGAAGAGGAGAAAGGAGAGAAAGGGGAAGAGAAGAGAAGAGAAAAGAGAAGAAAAGAGAAGAGAAGAGAAAGAAGAGAACGACACCCAGTCCCAAGTGGAGAAGATCTTTGCCGTTTTGGTTCACTAACCACTTACTACACACACTCATCCTACATTCTCACGCGCACCAAGATAATGTAGGGTTCGGCGGCTTAATAATTTATACGTTTCAGGACACATTTATAAATATTAATCCAATTTCATCTTTTATGTTAATTCACGTAAGGGGCTGGGGAGAATATTACATCATAAATCCTATAATAGCATTCTTTCAAAAACAAGCAGGGGGGGGGAGAGAAGACTTGTATGCACAGAATAAATAATGCAAATACTTTGTAGGGGACCATGGCACCATCTATTGGCGTGAAGAGGGTCTCGCTCGATTAAACCTCAGATCTGGCGATCCTGTTGATCCCCGGGCTCGTTTGAACGAGTCCACGGAAAAAAGAATTCCGCAAAACGTACCGATAATCTCAACTTAAAATGACCAAAGGGGGTCACGTGACCCCGGGACAGTCATAAATAGGAGTCAGTTGCCAAAGCGTCCGAATTTTGATCACGTGACCGCGGGAAATGCTGCAAAAGGCCATAACTATGAAAAATAGCCATGAGTCCCTTTTCTCAGTGACGTTGTGGAACTTTGAACGAAGTCGCTAAACTAAGCGTCGTAAGTTGAGGGCTGTCTGCAGCCCATTATCCAATTATCATTTCCGTTGATAACTGGGGTATTATTTCTGATTATACCTGAGTATTTTTCTGTGCCACTTGGATAATGCTTTTTCAAGACATTGAGGATAAGCGTAGGAATTATGAGAAAGGCCGTATATATTTAATTTCACATGTGCTAACTGCAGCAAGAATTGTATTCGCCCAACATTGGAAAAATAAAAACCTACCAACAGAAGAAGAACTAATCAAGAAAATTTTAGAGTGTGCAGAAATGGACAGATTGACTTTAAAGATAGAAGAGAAAGAAGAGTCGGTTTATTTTAGAACACGGGATAATTTTTATCAATGGCTAGAAAAACGAATTAGAGAGAAATTGACTTTAAAGATAAAAGAGAAAGAAGATTCAGTGTATTTTAGAACACGGGATAATTTTTATCAATGGCTAGAAAAACGAGTTAGAGAGAAAGGAATGTGATATGTAACACTGAATATATACTAGTAAGAAGACTATTGAGAGATTAATTAGCATATTGTTTATGATAATTATTATTCATTGTTTTTTAAATACATGAACCCAGACAACATGCTGTTTGCTAAATATTAACAATGTTATTTTAAAAAATCCTAACCCTAACCCCAGCTCTAATCCCGACCCCACTCTATTCCTAATCCTATAAAAAATAATAAAATATATATATATAAAATGGATAAGCGTAGGGGGAGCTGAATTCAAGGAACCAAGCTCAGAGAAACACACAAATAAATGACTATATTCTCATTTACCCAACCGTCTCTTGCATCAATTCAGTTCAGTGAACAAGAAAAAAAAAAAGGGGGGGGGGCATTAAAACAAATCTTCTTAGCTATGAAGGGCCCAACTAAGGACACTGAAACTGTACAGGTCTCTCCCCGACCTACAATTATTTGTTTAATGACCATTTCAAGTTACGACGGCACTGGGGGAAAAATGCCTTGGGGCCATTTTTCACACTGATGGCCGTTGCAGCACCCCCATCTGTATTCTTTCTCCTTCGAACTTATGGCGTTTCAACCATGGCAACTTTAAGACTTGGAGACTTCAACTCCCAGAATTTATTTATTTTTTAGTTTGCATTAGCTTTTATCATTCCTGGGGTCAAAAAAACATGCGGCCGAGTCAGAATGGCCAAGTTCACCCACCCCAGAACAGCCGAGGCAAAGGTTTAATCCGCATTTGGACCCTGCCAGTCTTTGAGAAGCAGTTTGCACCTAGCCAGACCCCAGGTGACTGCACCTAGGTCCCAATTTGCTCCCATCTGGGGCATCTTCAAGGGTCCCCCCCCCTCGCAAAAGCAGCTACCCACCAATGCCAAAAAAAAGAATTTCAGATCTCTTAAATGCTAGACTAGCGTTTCTCAACCTTGACAACTTAAGATGAGTGGACTTCAACTCCCAAGCATGCTAGCAAGGGTATTCTGGGAGTTGAAGTCCACAAGTCTTAAAGTTGCCAAGGTTGAGGACCCCTGTTTTAAATAGCTGGTCTACAGTCTGCTTTTTTCCTGGAGGACAAAAACAACTTCGGGCTGTGTGGATCGTCTCCCTCTTTGCAGTTTCCTCTCCCATTCTCTTCAAGCGTCTGGAGGGAGGATCAAAGCCTCCATTAGAGCAGCTAAGAATTTCACTTTCATTTTCTGCCCTATTAGCTGAATCATCGGGACGAGGAAGGGTGAAAAAAATTAAATGCTCTGGGTCCCCACTAGCAGGCAGCACAGACACCGCACTCGGTTGTGCCAAGGAGCGTGGGACTCACCCATCGTGACGTAAGGCAGCTTGTCGGTCGAGCCGTGAGGATAAATGCTGTACAGGTGAGCGCCGGTGACATCGACCCCACCCAGGACTAACGCTGCCCCGATATATCCCTGGTACCTGGAGCATAAATAAATGAATTATAAACAAAAGAAGCGTTAACAGCACGGAGAACGCAAGACAGGCAAAAACAGAAGAGGGTGGATATCTCTTTCTGAGGTATGTTTACAAGCACAACTGAGCCTCAAATATATGTTGTTAAGTGAGAGCTTGATCACGTGACACACACACAAACACACCCCGGGACGCTGCGACCGTCATAAATATGAACCAGTCGCCAAGCGTCTGAATTTTGATCTCCGTGTTGGTAGGGATGCTGCAACGGTCCTAAGTGTGAAGCGGTCGCAACTGTGAAAAAGGATCTTACGTCACTTTTTTCAGTGCCATTGTAACTTTGAACTAAATGAACTGTTGTTAAGACGAGGACCACCCGTATTGGCCGTTCTCTAACGCTTTGTAAATTTTCGTGGTTTAAAAGCCAGGAAAAACGGGGCTGTGGTTTAAACCAGGGGTCTTCAAACATGGCCCTTTGATGACTTGTGGACTTCAACTCCCAGAATTCCTCAGCCAGGCACGCGTGTCCACAAGTCATCAAAGGGCCAAGTTTGAAGACCCCTAGTTTAAATTGTGGGGTTTTAACCGTGGGGTTTTCATGTTGCACGCTGCCCAGAGTCTCTGTGTGTTGGGCAGCTCTATAAAGTAGTTTAATAAATAAACTAAAATTATAAATCAAACGGCCTTGGTTTTCCATACAGAGCTTTGAGTGCATCCACCGGTTTTACAGGCAGATCCGACTATGCAGTTGAAACCCTCTTTTATCTGCATAAATTGTGCTCACATCTCCACTGTTTTGACCCCTCCCCAAAGAAGCCTCTGAAAGGTGGGAACGGAAGCCTTCTCGGCCCGTAACAATCCTGCCCCAGACAACGACGAAGTACCTGAAAAGCATCTGCTTGAGCATCCGGTTGGCCGTCACGACTCTGGGAAGCCGCCCGGTTGAGAGGGAATGAAGCTCCATGTTTGAAGAGATCATCTGGGTGGTCACTTCGGTGTCTGCAGCCGTTCCGGCCCCACAGCAGCTGCAAGGGTAAAACAGCAGCATTTTAGGCACCCCTGAGCCCCACTGAAACCCATCGGCCTTTCCCACCCCAAGGAAATTTGCTGCCAGGTGTCTATGGAGATTCTCAGTCATCCAGGTCATGGTTGTCCCAAAGGTGCTTTTGCAAAGAGGCAACTGGACTTTCTGGTTTTTCTTTGAAGGTGTTTCGCTTCTCATCCAAGAAGCTTCTTCAGCTCTGACTGGATGATCTTCCCCTTGCCTCTTCAAAATCTCCATAGACATCCCCATACATATAACATGCCCATTTGTTCACCCCATGCCCATTTGCCCATTTGTTCACCCCATGCCCTCTCACTCCCCCCAGCTTTTGATGGCAGGATGCCAGCAGGGCACCAAGCCAAAGATGGCGGAACTGACACTTGACTTTACGTAACACCCAAGAGCATTCAAGAGGATACTGATCGTGTCACTGCATGTTGCTTGCCACAATTAGAATTTAGAATTAGAATTAAGAGTTGGAAGGGACCTTGTAGGCCATCGAGTCCAATCCACACAACGCCCAAGCAGGAGACCCGACACCAGGGGTCTTCAAACTTGGCCCTTTGATGACTTTGTGGACTTCAACTCCCAGAATTCCTCAGCTGAGGAATTCTGGGAGTTGAAGTCCACAAGTCATCAAAGGGCCAAGTTTGAAGACCCCTGCCCTACACCATTTCTGACCGATGGCAGTCCAGATTCTTCTTGAATAGCTTCCAGCGATGAAGCTCTCACAACCTCTGATGGCAAGCTAGCTGTTCCGTTGGTTGTTTCGGGTGGAAACTGCTGGAAACCTCCACTCACCTGCTCTGAGGTCACAGCATACCTGGCCACCCTACCTGGCGACGCAGTGGGATCCGTTCTCAAACAAATTCAGGCAGGACTGGGGCTTAATCGTTTAATGATAAGTGCATTAAGATGGAGGTCATTTAAGCTGGCTGCCCCCAGAGAGAAAGTCTCTTTTTGAAAGATTCCAGCGAAGCTCAACTTCTGAAGGCAAATTGTTCCAATTTGTGGATTGTTCTCAC